TTTATTTTATATTCTAAATGTATTTTCGATAATTTTCCTACTCTTAATATTTAGAAAGAAAGAACGTAAAAAATTGATCTATATGCCTAGGCATCTGCACCTTACTCCCACACTTAGCGTAAAGCTTCCAAACCGGTTTAGCCACTTTATAAATAAAAGGGTAAACAAATCAGATATTCATTTCGAATTCCGCTTTATAGAGAACCTATGAGCTCAGAGTGTTTACAAACCGCACGCTCTCGGAGCTTATCAAGCTGTGCTATGCATAAATAGAATAAAAAGCTCGTATTTCAATTCAGTTCTCCCACGACGCGTGCCTAATTCACTTCAAACTGTAATTAAAAATATATATTATTATACATTCGCCATGCTTTTCTTAACGATCGCGCTGCTGGGCGTGGTCCTGGCGCTGTTATACAGCCTCTATCAAAATACGTACAGCTACTGGGAACGCATGGGGGTGCCATACGAGCAGCCACTGCCAATAATTGGAAATATGAAAGGCATCGGGTCAAGGCTCCATTTCCGCGACATTAATCAGCGGATCTATGATCAGTTCAAGGGCAAGACACCGTTTGCCGGCCTATACATGTTCTTCAAGAGGGTCGCCTTCATAATCGACCTGGATCTGATCAAGCAGCTGTTGATCAAGGACTTCCATGTGTTTCAGGATCGCGGCATTTTCAACAATGTGCGCGATGAGCCGCTGACCGGCCATCTCTTTACGCTCGAGGGCGACGAATGGCGCTCCATGAGGCACAAGTTGACGCCTGTCTTCACGTCCGGCAAGATGAAGCACATGTTTGGAATAATTGTGGATATCGGCCGTCATCTGGCCGACACAATGGACAAAGAGGTAGCGGCAGCAAGCGCTGAGAATGGCGATGTGGAGATAAAGGAGCTCTGTGCTCGCTACACCACAGACGTGATCGGGAGCTGCGCCTTTGGCCTGGAGTGCAACAGCTTGGCCGATCCCTTTGCCGAGTTCCGGTCCAAGGGCCGTCTGATCTTCGAGAATCCGCGTCATCCCCAGATTATTCAGTCCTTCATCTTCACAAATCCGAATCTAGCTCGAAAGATGCATTTGAAAGTGCTGCGCGATGATGTGGCGAACTTCTTCATGACGGCTGTGCGATCGACGGTCGATCATCGCATCAAGAACGGCATCAAGCGCAACGATTTCCTCGATCAACTGATCGAGCTGCGCGCCGAGAACGAAGAGGCAGCACGTCAAGGCAAAGGCATTGATCTGTCCCATGGTCTGACCATCGAGCAAATGGCCGCCCAAGCCTTTGTCTTCTTCATAGCTGGCTTCGAAACCTCCTCCAGCACAACGGCCTTCTGTCTGTACGAATTGGCACTGCAGCAGGATATACAGCGGCGACTGAGAGAAGAGATCGAGACGGTGCTCAAACAGACAGCTGATGGAGAGGTCACCTACGAAGCCGTTAGCCAGATGAGCTATTTGGAGAAAGTGCTTGCCGGTAGGAAAACTAAATATTAATCCCATATTCCACTATAATAATCCATCCTTCATTATTTTCATACAGAGACTTTGCGTAAGCATCCCATTCTGCCCCATCTGATGCGACTAGCGAAAACTGATTACCCAGTTCCTGGCACAAACCTCGTCATTGAGAAGGGCACTTCCATAGTGATTCCCGTGCATAACATTCACCATGATCCTGAGATTTATCCCCAACCAGAACGCTTTGATCCCGAACGCTTTGAGCCAACTGCCATCAAGGCCCGTCATCAGTTTGCCTATCTGCCCTTTGGCGACGGTCCTCGCAACTGCATCGGCGAGCGCTTCGGTAAAATGCAGGCTAAAGTCGGCCTAATCTCCCTACTGCGTCGATTCAAGTTCAGTGTTTCCGAGCACACTGAGATTCCATTAAAGTTCAATAAGCGTAACTTTTCGTTGTCCACCCAAGATGGAATTATTCTGAAAGTAGAGCGTATTTGAAGAGACGCGCTTTAACCTCAACATATTAATCTAATTACTCGCAAGATGTTGAACTGAATAAAATCCTAATTTGTTCATAGTAGTTTAACAACAATTCAAAATATTTGTGTATTCGCGATGAGTTTGCCCAAAAAATATTAAATAAACAAACGGAAGATAAGAAAGCATGAGTAAGAGCCTCTGTGGGGGCCACAAATTAAATACCACAGATAACGACTTAATACCAATAAGAACGTTGACAGTGCGGTAGCTGCACATATATTATTTTTATTTTGGAAAGAAACAGAGGAGAATGTAAATAATAATATACAAATAAGAAACTCATCAGATTTGAATGTATTAGTGAGAGTGGATAAGAATATTTGCACTGAGTACAACCAACGTCTCTTTAGGACAAAGCCCAATTTGGCTCTTAGGGAATACTCTTCATGCTTCAGGTCCATAGCTGCTTTGGCATGGAGCGTCTTCTGTGCGATTCTCGTTTTACCACTTGCCAAGCTTTTTGCCATTTCGCATATTACAGCTAAAGCTACAGCAAATAACTTGGACTTCAATCTTTTTACTCATAAGTTTCGTTTTCAATGGAATTCAGTATAATTGTTAAAATGTTGCCATAGGTCAGGTACTAAGATAACGGTTATTTGCAATACGCACCAAATTGATGAAATATAACAAATTGTTGTATCCACGCGAATTCAAACATTGCAACTAAAAATAAACTTGATAAGCGAAAAAGCTCAATTCGAGCGCCAGCACTTGACGAACCTCATATTACTCGCTTTGTTATTGCTTTGTTCTTGCTCTCTGCTTCTTTGTCTCGCTCACTCTCCCCCTCTCACTCTCTCTCTTTCTATCTGCCTACGCTTGCTCGACATTCGTCGAGAATAAATGAAACGTGTAAACGACTTTGTGCATTCATGCCGACGCACACACACACATATGCATATGCACGCCAATAGAGTGAACTCGTAACTCAATATACCCTGTAGATAAGTAAAAATGAGCTTGTACTCATATTTAATTAAATATTACTATAATCAAAACTTCTATTCAATATCATAAAGCTATAAATGTTATTTTATTAGAATATAAATATTCGACATCTCTATTTAATTATTTCCAAGCTTTTGACATATAAAAATAATTAAAATAAAAAAATATATATAAATTAATTGATAAGAATGTAACAATGTAATCAAAATAATGTATAATTACTTCCATAAATAAATTGCATGCTAATCCGATTTATTAATAAGTATGTATGTATAAGTAAAATAGAGGGTATTTACTAGCTGACCCCCGCTTTACGTGATTGCCGCCACAAAGCGAATGTAACTGTAATTCATGGCATTAGTTCTCTTACCCGGCGCCTTGTGTGCAATGCCGTTATTGCAATGCCATTATTCAAGTTGAAGGCGCACTTTTCAGCTCTCTCTACCACTCTCTCTCTCTCTCTCTCTCTTTCTATTCGCTCATCTCACTGTCAACTGGAACTGCTGAGAGCACGCCAATTCCAGTCACATACATACATACATTCATGATCATCGGCAAGCGTCGCTCTTCCAGGGCGCCAATTAAACGAAGCTGTCTGCCATTGAGTTGTTGTTTACATTGAAACGCACTTTGTACTCTGCTCAGAGCAGCTGATTAGGCGCTTCTGCGGAGAACAGATTCCGACTCAGACTCAGGCTCAGATCAGTTGAAAGTGAAACGCACAATATGTTGGACGTGATAGCCCTGCTGCTCGTGACGCTTGCCGTCAGCTTCTGGTTCGTGGGCACCCGGCTCAGCTATTGGGCACGACGTCGCATCAGCCATGTGCGGCCCAGCTTTCCCATGGGCAATCTGGAAGGCTTTCGCAGCACGAAGCACTTTAAGGACATTCTGACGCCGCTCTATGAGAGCTTCAAGTCCACCGGAGCACCGTTTGCGGGTTTCTACTTTATGCTGCGACCAGTGGTGCTGGTGCTTGATCTGGAGCTGGCCAAGCAGGTGTTGATCCGGGACTTTGCCAACTTCGAGGATCGCGGCATGTACCACAACGAGCGCGATGATCCGCTCACGGGACACCTGTTTCGCATCGACGGCCCCAAGTGGCGGCCACTGCGCCAGAAGATGTCGCCGACCTTCAGCTCCGGCAAGATGAAGTTCATGTTCCCCACCGTCTCCGCCGTGGGCGAGCAGCTGGCGCWGGTGTGCGGCGAACTGGCCAGCAATTCCATTTGCGGCATTCTGGAGATCAACGAACTGATGGCCAGGTACACCTCGGATGTGATTGGCAACTGTGCATTTGGCCTGGAGTGCAATGGACTGCGCAATCCGGAGGCCGAGTTTGCCGTCATGGGACGACGCGCCTTTACAGATCGGCGCCACAACAAGCTCATCGATGGCTTCATTGAAAGCTTTCCGAATCTGGCCAGACGCCTGCGGCTCTGCCAGATACACAAGGACATCACGGACTTCTACATGCGCATCGTCAGCGATACGGTCAAGGAGCGCGAGTCCAAAGGGATTGTGCGCCACGACTTCATGAATCTCCTGATCGAAATGAAGCAACGCGGCGAACTCACGCTGCCCGAGATCGCGGCGCAGTCGTTCATATTCTTTGCCGCCGGCTTCGATACCTCCGCCTCGACCCTGGCCTTCGCCCTGTACGAGCTGGCCAAACAGCCGCAGATCCAGGTGAAGCTAAGAGAGGAGATCGAGCTGGCACTACAGGCACACGGCGGACAGTTCACCTACGAGTGCATGCAGGAGCTGCGCTATATGGAACTAGTTATAGCAGGTAGGTCATATTTGAGATATGAGAGACAGAGATATTAATTGATTTTCCATTACCATAGAGACGCTTCGCAAGTATCCCACATTGCCGCATCTCTCGCGCATCTCCAAGAAGTACTATGCGGCCAAGGGCAATCGACACTTTTATATCGAGCCCGGCCAGATGCTTTACATACCCGTCTATGGCATACATCACGATCCGGCACTATATCCCGAGCCGCACCGGTTCATACCGGAACGCTTTCTGGCCGACCAGATGGCCCAGCGACCCACGGCATCCTGGCTGCCCTTCGGCGATGGGCCGCGCAACTGCATCGGCATGCGATTCGGCAAGATGCAAACGAGCATCGCCCTCTTCCATCTGCTTAGACGGTTTCAGTTCAGCGTCTGTCCGCGCACAGAGCCCAAAATCAAATTTCAAAACTCGAATCTATTGCTGTGCCCAGCGACGGGCATTTACTTAAAAGTTGAAGAGCTTAAGAAATAAATTGTAATGGATTTTAAATTCCCATAAATTCGTTAGCTACTTAAATACATTTATTTTCTATAGTACATTATAGCCATAACTATATTGACCACTGCCTGATAATGGATAATGTTCTTTAAAAAATCTGATATTACAAACTTTAAAATAAAACTAAAATAGAATTTTGTCTGACTTTTATATGTTTTTATTTTGCTTTAAAATTAATCTTATTTTTCTTTTTAATTAAATAAATAAATCAAAGTTGATAGTTGTTAGTGTAAACATTTTCTAATGGATTATGATTCTATAATATTAATGTACTACAACATAGGAAAATATATATACATATATAAGTCAAATTTAAATATACATATAAAACTTTAA